CAATATATGTGGACTTTGTTACACCAACTTGATTTTTAACACGAACTACCAATACTAAATCACATGCACATTAACTGTGGTTTGAAAAATATTATTACAAATTCCTATTGTTTTTTTTTTACGCATAAAAACCACACTTTCTCTCATCACATACCTTCAAAGGAGACAGGAGATGGCTTCTTTATTAACAGTGTAGATGAGTTGTTGTTATTAATGTAGAGGATATCCTACATGAAGTACTTCTTAATGATTAAAGATGTTTCAGTAGGAGATAACGCCAGATTTTCTGGACATTTACCAGAACCACACAAGCAGAAATCGTTGTTTTAATTCTTGCGTGTATCAAAAGGAAATATGTTAACCCATACTAAAAAGAAAAAAATATTGTTTTAGTCTTTTTTTTTCTTTATAAAGGAATATCACAACAAAAAAATGAGCAAAATTTGTAAAAAAGATATAAGATAAAAATAGAAATAGAGGAAAATCATTTGAGATTATAATAATACATATTAGCTAATGTGCAAGATGTTTCCAGGTATTGTTTCAAGGAATATCACCATTTAGCTCAACTATATTAATTGCACCAAACTCAAAGCTGTTTACGTTGTGAGTTATCTTAATATTGTTGTATTGTTTTTATCAAACTTTCAAATACAATAAACATTTTATGTGTTAAAGTGCACACTAAAAACGTAAGAGTATTGTATTCAACAGTGTAGATTAGTTGGTATTATGCTTTTCTATACAAGAATATAATTTTGTTTTTATTTTGTAAGAACACGATGTAACTGGCGAAGTGAGAATCTAGTGATAAAGGTCGCTTAAGGAATGATGAGGAGAATGTGATTCAAGTGATAGATATAGCTCAAGTTGTGACTGGTTGAGGTAGAATGAAATGGAAAAGAGAGAATCTAGTGATAAAGGAGAGTTAAAGGTGTAACTAGCAGAATTAGATTCAAGTGATAGATATGGCTCAAGTTGTGACTGGTTGAGGTAGAATGAAATGGTAAAGAGATTTCCAGTTTGGTTACATCTGTGTGAGCCTCTAAGACCTACCTTCACCGTACTCAAACAAATCTGATGACTTTCAGTCTCAGAGGCTGATCGACTTCTGCAAATGATTGAGCAAATATAAATATATTGTGCTCAGAAACCAGAAGTTACAATTTAAGAAGCCTACATAGAAGGCAGTGTGGAATTGTACCCTAGAAATTTTCTTTGCATTTTCAACTAATATGTGAAAACCAAGAGCACATCCAAAATATTTTTAATTAATATGGCTATAATTTCAAAATGTTGATCCGATGTACAGGGGACCAGGAAATTCGTTACTGCTATATAATTAAAAATCTTGTTTCATATTAGTGATAAATAAATATGTTTACAAAAAGGTCCACAAAAATAACGACTAACACAATAATTGTTCTCTTTAGCATAGGCTAAAGTATTTGCTTTTGATACAAGTACGTATTAAAACAATAATTTCTGCATAGGTGGTTCTGGCAAGTTTCCAGAAAATCTGACGTCATCTCGTGCTGAAACAGCTTTCATTTAGGTGTACTTCATAAGTATAATATATTCTAGACCAACAACTCAACAAATTGTTGCAGTGAAGCCGTCTCTAGTGAGGGTATGTACTGAGAAAAGCTGTAGTTTCATTGTGTAAAAAAATCCATGGAAATTTAGAGTAATGTTTTTAAAACCACAATTAATGTGCACGAGATATAGTTTTGGTAGATCGTGTTAAAAATTAAGCTGGTGTAACAAAGTCCATATATGTACACGTACACGTAATTTATATCATAGAACTTTTATGATAGTATATTTTAAAGAAAAACATAAAAATTTAAAGGTTATGTGTATATGTATCTCTATGTATATATTACATGCTATACAAAGCCGATACATGCTATACAAAACTATCGTCTGTAAAATGACATTTACTTCAAATCTCTATGGCACTTGTCATTAACCTCTTTTCAGGCTGTTGCTTTTTGAAAATATGAATATTGTGTATTAAAATACCGTACTCCGTATTTAAATTAAGATTTTTCTGAAAATATAAAAGCCTAATGACTATACTAAGTTTGTAAGTAAACCTTATACAGATATTGGCCATAAAAAGACAAAAAATAAAACAAAAACAAAAGTTGTAAAGTGACTAGCAGGATATAATAAAAAATCACACAACAATATGTCATTTTAATTGTAAAGATAATCGTTTACGTGAACTCAAGAAATGCACTTAATATAGCTTTACTTTACACAGAAATATACTTCTTTGTTGACTGTCACCTTGGTTTATCAGCTTTAAGTTTTTTGGACTTACAACACTGAAATCCGGTGTTCGATTTCAGTAGGTGGACAGAGCGCAGATAGCCCATTGGGTAACTTTGTGCTAGAACAAAACAAACCACATTTTGTTGACTTTCTCAATCGCAATTTAAACATTAATGTTTTCCATATAAATATTGAGAAAGATCCATTTTGTCAACTTATAAATCTTGTCTGCAAAATATTAGCCATAGAGAGGACTACGGATGAATTTTCCTTTAATGTTTGCTCTTCCAGGTATGAGATAGAAATATATAATACCTATTGGATCTTTGGTTTGTTTGTTTTGTATTTAAACATAAAGATACACAATGGCTATGTACTGTACGCCCACGGCCGGTATCAAACTGTGATTTGTAGCGTTACAATTCCTCAAACTTACAGCTGAGCCATCGGGCTACAAACAAGAAGGTGACCTAATGGAACACAAAAGACCATATTGCTAGAAACTGCTCTCAGATGATGGCAATAAAATGATACTGTTATAAACGTGTGTAACATGGACATTACACCCAAGAATATGATGAGGCAGTGAGTGATATATACCAGTTAGCTTATATCTTGAAGACGATAATACTCCATATGGCCCAATATAAAATACTATATTTGACGTAATAGAAACAAAGAATGTATTGTTTAAAGAAACAATTCCAGGTGTCAATGGATTTATTAATTAGAAGCCTCGCGGTATGGTCATAGACAGTACAACTACAGCTACAATTGCTAGACCCGATAAAATGCGGGAAACTGTCTTCAGTGATGAACAAAGAGGACGATGGTTTGATGCGGATAGAGGAAGTATCTGTTATTCAGGGAAGCTTACATACTCAGTGTGGTGTGTGGGTAGTTTACATCGAGAAAGAGTGCATACTAGAAATAGGATTTATGCACAAACATACATGCGATGCTAGACAGGCTTCAAGTAACTTCACAGTCTAAGTCCTGAGAATCCCCATGCAACATACGACAATTAGACCATTGGGGGCTAGACTTTTGTGACAACACAGCCTAATGAGGACAGACGTCCTATAGTGCAACAGTGCAGAATCCAGAAGAACAGCAGATCCAAACATTGGGTTATACATCGTGATTGTCTTTGGAAGGACGTTGACGGAAGAGCAACCACTTACTTAACTTCAGTGAAAACGCCATCAGCATTAAATCCACGTATTGGACAGCTCGAGGTTCCTCATGAGACCAATTTCAAGGTACCATCAAGATGAAGACACTAGTGGATTTCTTTGACTATCTACCTGAAGAGAACTCTCACTCCTTAGGGAGAAGACAGCAAGTGGTTGTAATAAACTAATAGTCATCCAATCCTTTGTTCTATAAGCTATGGAAAAAAGAAATTACCAACACAATTTCTTATATGGACAGTCAGACAAACTAAAGAAAGCGACGAAGAATATTTTATTATTTGGGATTATATTTTTTTAACTAACAAATTTATTAGTGATATAGTGATTGTAATGTCTATTTATAGGTAATAATTTTTGTTATTAATTACGCCAGTTTAAGTTAGTAAAACAAGTAAAGAAAAAGCTTTGCAAAACAGGAATTAATGTAGGGATAACTAGTATGAATCCTTAAAAAAAATGCAAACAAGATTGTAGGCCACACAGTGTAGTAGAATGTTAACAGACAAAAATAGGATAAATGAAACTCAATTGTGATTGAATAGTTATATATGTTGCTATATGTTAATTCTTGCCTGTGCTATTATGTAGGGATGATGCTAGTGCCATCCCTACTATTTTGTTTGGATTGTTTTTAAAGGATTGATATAAGTCATCCTTACATTTACTTCCTTTTTTTTTAAAGTTATTTCTTTACTTGTTGGCCTGGCATGGCCAGGTGGTTAGGGTACTCGACTCGCAATCTACGAGTTGCAGGTTTGAATCCCCGTCCCAACAAACATGCTCGCTCTTTCAGCCGTGGGGGGGGGGGGTTATAATGTGACGGTCAATCCCACTAATCGTTGGTAAAGGAGTAGCCCAAGAGTTGGCGGTGGGTGATGATGACTAGCTGCCTTTGGATTGTATGTAACTTGTATGTTTGTGATTTGTTTAAATTTAACCATGTTGTATATTTTATAGATTTTGAGTATGTCTTCGGTTGTTTCTCTCTTGTCGGTGTCAGTCAGCTGTCGTATGTAATTCGCACTTTGCCAGATTTTGTTTCTAATTTCATTTATATGTTTAGTCCAATTTAACTTAGAATCGTAGGTTAGAGCCAGGTTTTGGCTGATGTGGCTATCTGGAAAAGAGTTCCCTAAAGGTATAATTTTGGGGGCTGGTGTGATTCATTACCTATACAATTATAGCATCAAAATAATTGTTCATGTTACATTTCTCCCATTAAAAAAAGAATTAAGAAAATGAATAGTTGCCTTACATTGTCATAGCTACCACCTTTGAGTTTCTCAGTAACAACAGATCCTTCCACAACATAATCAGTATCTTTGTTCATCGCGATGGATAAAACAAGTCTTAGTCTTAAGATACCATTCATTAACGTGATAGGTCTATTTCAATTCAGGTAACCTGCGCTAGACCTAAGAAGTGTATTAAATGACTTTTGAAAAAAACAAAAACAAATATTACTAATGAAAGGGCTATAACGGTTATTTTTCACTGATGAATATTTATTTCGTATATTTGCAGGCTGTACAGTAAGAAATGTCTCAGCAAAGGAAAAATCCGACATATCAAGAAGTAGACGGTTTTACCATAAACATAACATTTTCGCCGGAATGTGTACGAGGTGCTATCCAATATAAACCTCGTGATGATGACATATTTGTCGTGACCTTTCCAAAATGTGGAACTACTTGGACCCAACATATTGTACATAATATTCTAAACAAGGGAGAAACATTTAAAAGTTTCGATGATGTTCAAAAACGCAGTCCTTTCATAGAAATGGTGGGGCCTAAGATTGTAAAAAATATGATTCGTCCTGGAGCCATTAAAACACACCTGCCGTTTCATATGTGCCCCTATTCACCTAATGCCAAATACATCTACGTTACTAGAAATCCTAGAGACTGTTGTGTGTCCTTCTATCATCACACCAAAATGTTTCCAGGATATCAGTTTCAAGGTGGAAGCTTCGACGACTTTTTCGAGGTCTTCATCAATGGCGAAACCGAATGGGGAGATTACTTTGATCATCTTCTTTCCGGGTACGAACACAAAAACGATCCCAACGTCTGCTTTATAACATACGAAGAAATGAAGGAGGACACCAAAGCTGCTGTTCTCAAATTGGCCAAGTTTCTAGGTCCACAGTATGGAGATACATTGGAGTCCGATGATGAAATTATGCTGAAGATTCTCGATCACACAAGCATAAAATTTATGAAACGCTTTAATGAAGATATGAAGTTATTTTATTCCAATACAGATGAAACTAATTTGAATGGAACAGAGGTTCCATTTTAAAATACTCCATAACATATTTCAACCCATCTTTCGTGTAAAATTTCTCCATTAATCGCTTTGATTGGACAGGAGAAAAATAATTTTTCCAATCTCCAACAGCTCCTTTTCGTACAAAATCGACTTTATGAGGCATTTTCAAATCTTTGAAAGTCGATTTTGTACGAAAAGGAGCTGTTGGAGATTGGAAAAATTATTTTTCTCCTGTCCAATCAAAGCGATTAATGGAGAAATTTTACACAAAGACGAAAGGGACAGATATTTTCAGCCTTTGGGATAAATTATTTCAGGATTAGAATATGAATCGATATTTGGAATATGATAGAAATTAAAATGAGATGCAGCTTTATGTAAATATTCTTTTATTTTCCGTAATAGGCATCTATATTAAAAATTATGTAAAGAAAGTCTCATAAAGAGCCTTGTTAAAGCTCACATTAGTTAAACAGGTTGGCAATATCATTTGGTTGTGTTTCATACTATTAGTTCCTGATGATTTAATGTTACGTTAGCAGGCTTTTAATAAACGTTAAAATTTGGGGTTCAATTTCTACTTTGGACACAGCATCAGTAACCCATTGTGCAGCATAATGCTTAAAAATAAATATACTTTTTATTATTTAGTTATTCGTAAAACGATAGACAATAAAAAAAAGACGGAATAATAGCTATTAATTTAAAAAAATGCAAAATATGTTTTTTTTTCATTATCGGCCTCCATGGGGTGAACTGTATTATTTCGACTTATAATACTAAAATTTGGAATTCGATTAAGCACAATTGACAAAGAGCAGGTGGTGTACCTATGGTATGACCCTGAAACAAGCAAATGTTTTATCGTATTGTGAGAATATGAAAATAAAATATGAACAGATCTTGCCGTCAATCGCTATGAGGTACATAAAGGAAACAAGACAAATCGAATGCTTTCAGAAGGATGGGGGCCCGGCATGGCCAGGTGGTTAGGGCGCTCGACTCGCAATCTGAGGGTCGATGGTTCGAATCCCCGACCCACCAGACATGCTCGCCCTTTCAGCCGCGGGGGCGTTATAATGTGACCTGTCAATCCCACTATTCGTTGGTAAAATAGTAGCCCAAGAGTTGGCGGAGGGTGGTGATGACTAGGTGACTTCCCTCTAGTCTTACACTGCTAAATTAAGGACGGCTAGCGCAGATAGCCCTCGTGTAGCTTTGCGCGAAATTCCAAAAAAAAAACAACAGAAGGATGGTTTATCTTCCGTACGTACTTTGGTTATTAGAAGCATAATTGTGACTTATTTAATTTTTTAACATTGAGATTTTTCTAAATATCACACCTATTATGAACTAATTTTCCAGGGTTCGTCAAAAGACATCGTGGCATAATTTGGTCGCTGGTCGTGCTCAAGTGTCTTAAGTAGTTTTATAATTTTTTATAACAGATATAGGGGTATTTAAAATGATCAACAATGTTATATAAGTGCCAATAAAGTGTCTTGACATCCTCATATAAGTGGTTTTCAAGTACTCAACAGTGTCGCATACTATCTGTCATACATTATTTCCAGTGTTGATTAATATCATCTAGAAATTTCACATTTTCCAAAAGGTTTGTTTAGATGTCATTAAAATTTTAAAGATTTCATATAGGTGTCTTTAAGGTGGTCAATAGGTGATTTTAAAGTTTTCTATAACTCTTTAACTCACCATATAATAACCTAACTTAATTTAGGTGTGTAAGTAATAAATTGAATACAATACCACAATAATATTCACATACCTCAGTTAATTTGGGTTACTAGATGGGTAATTAAACAGGTAATTATTATATGTATCTTATATGCTACACTAAAACGATTCCACAGCACCATTATAAGTACGCTTGAAATATTCAACATTCTTATTTATACGGTCTTAGAGTTTCAACATTGTGAGAGATATGTTTTCAGTCCTTTCATTCAGGTACCATTAGAGTTTTCAACATTGTGAGAGATGTATATTCAGTATTCTTATTTACTCTAAATCACGGTTTAACAAAATTTAGTTAATTATATACTGTTTGAAAATGAAAGAAAAATTAGTTTTTCTCCTGATATGAAATATTTAGTACTCCTGTAATGCAAAGTTTTGCATTTTTTTTTCATTCTGACGTGTTCATCGTTTGTTCTGAAACAAAAGAACAATCTTTGAAACTTTGAAATTTTATGTTGCTCTAATGCAGTTTTCTGCTGGTTACTATAACAGCTGAGATTGGAAGATTTCAACGATAGAGTTTTTATGTTATTGGTTTAAATTAACGTTAACATAACCGTTCTGAAAAGAATTTGTATACCCTGTAAGGTAAGTCTTAATAATTTATCTATCTTAAATATGATAAAAGTAATATTTTTATTTTCTGTAAATATCACTGTGCAACAGAAGTTTCTTCTGTTTTTGGTAGTTCATCACTTTATATAATGCTGATACAGAGCTAACTGAAAATGTAAATTACAAAATTATGTATTGAAATTAAGATTGAATAACTTAATTTCTTGTGATCGTATTGAAGTATAAGCAGTGTTCTTAATGTTAATTCTCATTAATCACCGTTGAAGGCACACGTTGCACTATAAGATGCGAATTTGTATTGTATTTACTTTGTAGATTATTAACTCTACAGACAAGCGTCTACAAATATATTGTAATTTCCAAACCTATATATGCATATCATTGTTTTTTTTTATTCTTAAGATAGATATACATTCAGCAGACCCTTCAAGCTTCACAGTACACTATTTCACTCTAATATGTAAATCGTTTTCAGTTCAACTTCAAAGTAATAACATTTCAGAATCAAGTCAGTGCTTCTAGATAATATGTACTTGTACATTGCTTTGGTTATTTGATTGAAATATGTTTTACTAATCATTAATTGAAACATTGGAAAAACTATTAGAATAAAAACGTATTTCAAGTAGTTGTAAAGGGTATTTGTCAAATTCATCAAAATATACTGAAATCATTGAATGATATTTCGGCAATGCAATCAACCACTTTGATTCAATAGTGTATGGGATACTTCGGCTAAATAAACATTCAGAATAAATCTTATAACACAATTATTCTCAACATGCCCTCTTTCACCATAATAACAATCACCTATTCATCATATTGTATAGATAAGCTTCCCAGAGCAACAAATACTTCCTCTTCAATGATCTTTATTTCCACTGTTTTTCGCATCAAGCCATCTTCTTTATTCATCAAGGATCGGGTCTAACAATTGTAATTGTATAACCAGCCTTGATGTTTGTATTGTGAAGCTTCCAATCAATAAACTCACTGACTAATGGACTCATTTCTTGGAATAATACACTTCTTAGTTCTTTTGGGCCATATGGAGTATTATCATCTTCAGGATATAATCTAACTGGTTTGAAAATACTGACTGTTTCACCACATTCTTGGGTGTAACGTTCATGTTTCCCATATTTGTAACAGTATCGTTCTCTTTTTTATCATTTGATTTCAGTTTCAAAACATACGTTCTGTTGTGTTATAATTGAATAACCTTCATACCTATAGACCAATGGCTCAGCTGTAAGCTTTTGCTAACGAATAGTGGGATTAACCATCACACTATAACGCCTCCACGGCTGATAAGGCAGTCATATTTGGTGAGGGAGTTTCGATTCCGCGAACCGCAGATGGCGAGGCGATTGTCCTAACCACCAGGCCATGCCATACCTCCAATGCAGGTAAGATTTACAAACAGACAACATTGATCTCTTCCTGAAAAGACAATATTTATACGCGAAATATTAATATATAAATTGCAATTGAGCAAGTCAAGAAATATTTTTTTTTGTTCTAGCGCAAAGTTGCACAATGGGCTACCTGCGCTCTGTCCGCCGACTGAAATCGAACATCTTAAGTTTCATTTCATTGCTTCAGATGAAGGATTGTTTTCGAAAGGAGAAGATCAAGACACTATGTTGGCCAGGCAACATCCCAGATCTCAATCCTATCGAAAATCGTTGGAATGTAATGGATAACAAAAGTGCAAGAGGAGAAAGCGAGAAGCACCTTATAACTCCACAAAGCTTTAATCTGCGTGTTGCTTCCTGAACTCACCCCTGCTTACATTAAATCACTCGTGCACTCTATGCACGGTGATTTCAAGCATTTATTAAGGACAGAGAGGGCGTAACCATGTATTAAAACAAGAAACACTGTGACCACTTTTTGTCAATTACGTTAGTGGCGTTATCTTTAAGTTTAGGTTTTCTTACTCAGAGGATATTTTTTTATTTGCCAAGTGTTTCTTGATATTCTGCTGTGATACGTTTATCACGACTGATTTGTTGATAAAAATGCGTATATGTATTTGTATGACTGGAGCATGAGACAGCTTACACCACACCATGTCTATAACCGTTTTACATTAGTTCTGACTTTTCCACAAAGCACAATCTCGTAAGATATTACAAGAACCACGAAAAATGTGAAAAAATTGGGTGGTGCAATAATCTTTTACACCACTGTAATATAAACATAATCTTTAACATACTTGTCACAAAACATTATGTTAGGCCTACTGTAGTTTTTTAACATTAGATTCTTAACCAAGTCCTTTAGAGAGTATAAATTAATAGTATAGCAATCACACCATATTAGTCATATTAATTGCCAACGAATCGTTTCACTTAATCCAGAGCTCTTTAGGCCTGCTTGCTGGATTACAACGAACATAATAATAGCCGGAACACTATTCAACTAAGCCATTTGCTATAGCAACAACCGTTATGATGTGAACATCTTTTACTATCTGTGAAAAAGAATTATAATTAACTATACTTTTCATAAAACAAATAATGTTAGACCTATTATACTGGACTGAGCAAAACGCGTCGGAGGCAATAAATATGACGAATATGATGTGGTTACAAAACAATTAATTTACACTCTTCTATTTCTTGAAAATCGATGAGGGACTAGATTAAAAATCTAGTGTTAAATATATATATATTAGATCTAACATAATGTCTTATGACATATATAATTTATTACTATCATGCTTCGCCATCTTGTAAAAGGCGTTCACACCATAATAATTTCTGACATTTTATGTTATTTTTGAAAAATATTATGATAAAAGTCCCAAGGCTCAAATTACATTTTCAGGTCATAATATCTGAACCATCTGGACATAAAGACTAGAAAACTGACTCTAATCACCGTAGATATTCAGGCTGAGACAGCAATATTTATGGACTTTGTTACACCAACTTGATTTTTTAACACGATTTACCTATACTAAATCACAGCAACTTAATTGTGGTTTGAAAAATATTATTACCAATTCCTATTGTTTTTTTACGCAATTCATATGGATTTCTTTACATAAAGAAACTACAGTTTTTCTCATTACATACCTTCAAAGGAGACAGGAGGTGGTTTTTCTACTAACAGTGCAGATGAGTTGTTGTTATCAATGTAGAGGATATCCTACATAAAGTACTTCTTAATGATTAAAGATGATTCAGTAGGAGATAACACCAGATTTTCTGGGCATTTACTAGAACCGCCCATACAGAAATCATTGTTTTAATTCGTACTTGTATCAAAAGCAAATATGTTACCCTATTTTAAAAAGAAAAATTACTGTTTTAGTCTTTTTTTTCCTCTATAAAGGAATATCACAACAACAAACGAGCAAAATTAGTAAAACAGATATAAGTTAATAATAAAAATAGGGAAAAACCATTTGAGATTATAATAATACATATTAGCTAATGTGCAAGATGTTTTCAGGTATTGTTTCAAGGAATATTACCATTTAGCTTAACTATATTAATTGCACCAAACTCAAAGCTGTTGACGTTGTGAGTTATCTTAATATTGTTGTATTGTTTTT